AATTTAAACATGACTTTTTTATCCTTTTTGGAGTACAGTCAATGATCCAATGAGAGAACTTGACTTCTGGGAACTGATAAGAGTACTTGTATTGAAATTGCATTTTAAAATGCATCGAGAAAATAAATGTTCAAACGGTTTTGAAATCCAGGGTGAAAGAAATGTAAAAAAGATAGCATTTTCGTGTTAGTTCTTACCTGATGTGACGTTTTAACTATTGTCTCTACGCTTCAGCAGTATGTTATTCACTTTGGCATCCACTTCATCAGCCAACTCTATGCACGATCAGCAGCGCAGTAGAGAAATCGACTCTCGCGCTTTTCCTCCTTTTCCTTATGATAAATTCGTCTTTTGTTTCTTGTCGTTTCTGAGCTCTCTATGTCTCTCGCTCGGGAGCGCTGGAACAGCGGCGGTATATAAACTGAATTGCTTCTCAGTCGAAGGTAATCACTAAACCAGATTCACGTTACCAATTAGAGAGACCGACACCTTTCGCGTTTCTCCCCTGACGGGAAGCAACCGCCCTGAATAGGTATCAGGCTTTACATCACTCGACATTAATAGGTATCGGTGATTTAAACTTGTTACTCACTCTTCAGGCAAATTCGTCTGAAAAAGGATGAGAATTCTAAAATTGCGCGAAGGGTGGCGGAACGACGAGGCTGCAGGGAGAAGAAACTTCGGTAATATTAATAAATTCAACGTAAGGACGGTCACGTTGAAAAAGTGAAACGCGGCGGGGATGAATGAATCCAAGAATACCGCCGGATGTCGATAATTTAAATTCGCCGACTGGAATCCCTTCGCGAGCGAAGGAGGACGTTGAAGTTCGCGGAAAGAAATTCCCTCGCTCTCCGTCTTTCGCGCACGCAGCCGCTGACTCAACGGCGACTCGATATTTATCACAATTATTGTGGCTGGAATAATTTATGCGCGCAGTAGCCTACGCGTTATGCACGCTTGTCAAAATGTCAAAATGATGTAGCGCCCCCGTCGCGTATCCTACATCAATCGAGACCTATCGGAGGATTAATTTCCTCGAGTCATAATCTGGCTCCCGTTTCAATTTCTCGGGATTGCGAACTATTGCACGCAATGTACGTCACGCGCTTAAAGCGATGTGCAACGACGCGCCATCATTAATAATCGTCATATCTGGCCGTTGTAACAATCATTGCGTTTTGTATGGGAACATAATTATTATCGTCTCTCCTTCTCGCTTTCTTCGCACAATAGACTGTATCATAAATCATTGTAATGCGCAATCTAATGAATATTTGACGCGCGCTCACCGAAAGCAACGTAATAATTATCAAAAAACAACTACTTTCTCTCTCTCTCTTTTCTGTCTATTCACGATTTCTCTGGCAAGTTCGCGTTTCGCGTGGCGCGACAGTTATCCCACTTACATTTTATTCCGATGTACAAGAGATACTGTTGAGACAACACGAGCCTATTCGTCGCACGTGAAATTCTTCTCTAGGGCAGCACGTGTCGGCATGTGCCGGCACCAGCAGTCATCATGTCGGACCGCGTTAGTCGCTATTTCCGCAAGACGTCGCGCTATTTCCATCGCCGCGGTCCGGAGGTGCACGGTCTTCGAAATTGATGTTTGTCCTCGCCGCATCGGCTTCCCATTGACGTCCCAAAATAAATCGTCGAACGACGTAACTCCCGCCGGATATATCGACTGGATGCATCCCCGCTTCTAAATCGGGCGACTCGTGAAGTCTCTCGCCGGCACTGTAGGCGACCTTTGCCGCTCTCACCTTACTGTACCGGGCTGTTCGTCTGGAATTGATCCTGGGAACGTCTGGGGTACGCCGAGAGCGCCGAGAAGAAACAATTATCCCGATTGCCTCGGTAGAAGGCCGCAGTCTCTCGGAGTCTCTGTTGTTCCGAACTCGTTACGTCGCCGATCTTGTGGGTTTTACGAAAACAGACGGATGAGCGAAACCGCACCCGCACGATCCTGCGACAAGAACCGCCCCACCCGACGCCGCGGGTCGATTCTCGGCTTCCTCGGACTTTTCGGCCACATCCTTCGCACAATGATACTCAAGTTCGACGGGGCATCGGCATTTTTCCTTCGTCCGACGCCGCGTCTCTTCTTGTCTCTCTCGAGAGGGAAAATGTACCCTCTGTGCCTGGTAAATCGGGTCTTCGATATTATTGCGCGTGCCTCTTACATCGACTCTTCAGGGTGGCCTTTGGCGAAATGAGCATTAGCGTATTAACAACAATTCACCACCGCGGAGAGGTGTTCCGGCCGGGTGAATTTTTACGAGATGAAAGCTGCTCCTGGCGAGCATTCGGGCGAGGTGACCTTCGAGGCCGCGTAGACCCCTTGTAGGGGATCCGGCGTAGGGGTGGCCACGTTCTGACTCTCACCCCCGAAATATGCCGTCAAAGTATCTCTACGTGCGGTCGACTCGCGCTGATTACACGCGATTACGCGACACTGCTCTGATTATTCGCCGTTTTATCAAGATAGAGGCAGCAAGAGTGACTCTTATTTGTACATGGAGGAAATTTTATAATAAAAATTACCATAGAGTGCTGTAATTGAGGAGTGGATCGACATTTTGCAATAATCCTTTTATTGCATGTGTATACTATCTATATCTTAGGAATTGAAACGTGCTATTAAAAATTCTGCTGTGTTCTGCAGTGAAGTTTACTACACGGAAAAAAAGGTTTGGTTGAATTAACCAAATATCTGGTCGAATATGAACGATCCAGAAATTCCGATTGAAGTAACCCGAATTCTGTTTAAGTTAACAAGATGTTTGATTGACTTAAACAGAATTCGGGTTACTTCAATCGGAATTTCTGGATCGTTCATATTTGACTAGATATTTGGTTAATTCAACCAAACCTTTTTTTCCATGTATATTTCTTAAATCTTACAGACAACCTACACTACTAGAAATATAGTAAAGTGGGAAAGAATTTATATGATATGTAGGAACCATTCTTTCCGTCTAATTATCTGCATAGAGGATTTTTGACTGCAAATACGATATCTCTGTTGTGTGCTTGTAGATTAGATTAAACTGAGAAAAAAGTTCATTTTGCAAACAACCACGTGAACTTTTGAGTTATTAATTAAAGAAAATTGGTGAATGATCGCGCCTCAAACCTCTACTTACCGCTCGCCAATTGATGATTGCGAATAAAAGCGATAGGTTACGTTCTTCTTTGTTTAGTTTTTGGTTTAATTTATGTTCACATGATAGCAAACGTCACCATTACAGTGTTCGTCTACCGCATCGATTATTCGCCAATATCATCTTTAATTAATAACTCAAAACTTGGTTTTTGCAAAATGGTAGAGAACTTTCTTGCTCAGTTTGACCTAATCTACGAGCACACGACGGCTGTCTTATGTACCGTCAAACATCTTGTATAAATGTATCGGGAGGGAGGGCAACTTAATTTATTCCTTATATATCTCGCTTCCGAGGCATAGCATTATTTCCAAGGGCATTCAGAGACGCTGAAAATTCTCAATCTTGCTGTTTCGATCGCTCACTTGCTCGCTCGTTCGAGAGAGTTAATTAACGTGCCTGGCAGCCTGCCGACGTAATTCCCGATTGTCGCTCCGGCGTTTGGTCGAATCGCATATTTCCGATCCGTTATTATCATCGAGAGCGAGGCGCGCGTGCTCGATTGCTCGACACACCATCGACACACCGTGGTACACACACTAGTCTCCACAGTAGAGGAGAACGCTAAATAACGAGTAGGCATTAACACGTAGAGACTATCGTAGTATAGACTGCATATGCATCGTGTGTTTCTATTTTGATTTAGTCAGTAGAACGTCGAGTGTCTGAGTAGTTCGGTAGACGCGTATGCCATGCGCGCGTCTGTCTGATAGTCTATTAATAAGACAGCCTCCGCGGACCACTTTCTGGTAAACTGAAAGCCTACTTACCTAATGTAGCGCAGAAGAAACTGCTATCGCAAGTGTCTCAGTGTGTTGTGAGGTAGAACAAAAATTCGCAAGCTACAGAGAGTTACAATAAGTGAAATCCTACTGTGAAGATGTATTTTGGTAAAAATTACGGCTTTATTTATTATTATTTATTTACTTACTTAACATCCTTCTTTACGATAAAGAAAAAAAGGAAATTGTATAAATTGCACGGAAGGAAATAAGTTAGTGCATAACATAAATGAGAACGTGGATATATAAGATAGGCAAAATATTAACAAAGTTAATAAAATTATCTCCAAGGAAACGTTTGAATTTTTTTATGCATATTGTAACTTTTATGTCAATGTTTTACATCTAATGTAATCAATTTTAACAACGGTGTTTGGATCTTATTTACTTTTTACTATTTATATTGGATTGTACATCTTGAGAGAGTGGCTCTTATTATACTTATAATTTTGTAACAAAATATTTGTAATCTTGAGCCATACATTAATTATGACTGAAATTACTATATGTTCGTTCGAAAGTGTTATGCATGTTGTACCACATAAAAATTATTGTGATTACTTAAATGTTTTTTATATGTTATATTTGGTAGATTTTCAGATTAAATATTTCTGTGATAATTTATACTACAATTTTAGTATAGTCCAGCTTTACGAAAAACGGGAATATATTTTTAACGTCACTTTCACTATGATATTTTCTTCGCGTAACGCAGAAGAACGCAGCGAAAAAAAACTGCTATCCGCTATATCAATGTGTTGTAAAACGTAAAAGAAATTCACACTATTAGCAAGCTACGGAGAGTTTCGATAGGTGAGATTCTACTTTGAGCAAACTCGTTGTTTTACTTAGATCAACGCGCGCGAATTTCTTCTTCTTTCTTCTTCTTAATTTAGCGCGTAATCTACATGTCTCCCTCTGATCTTCGCGATGCTGCATCCTATACGTGACGCGCGAAATCCTACTGGGATAACGGTGTGCGTGTTGAAAACTCCTGCAACACACAGCCAGGGAGCTATTAACGACGTGGTAACTTTGATTATTCCAGATCGCTGCCGAAACTCAGCAGCCAGGACGAGGATGGAACGAACCCCCACACCCAATACACAGGAGTCACGCACTTCGAGCCCATACCGCACGATCATGACTTTTGCGAGAGGGTCGTCATCAACGTGAGTGTAAATTTTAACGTTATACTCGAGTAATCCCGTGAATCCCGAGAGAATCCTTGCGTATCTCTCGGCACTCCTCGGTCCATCCCGGTCGGAGAAAACGATCTTGAGCGCGACCTTTCATCGTGACGCGCGATATCGCGTCTCGTCATTTCGAGAACGATATCCCTTCTGTCGTTTTGTATTATTTAGATTAAAAAATTCCCGGGAGAGAAGCGTGCGCTCTGCGAAGAATCTTGGCTCCTCGCGATCCCTGGCGTCGCGAAGATTCTTGGAACGTGGGATCCCCGATCTTCAAAAAGTTTCGTCTTCACGGAACCTTGGCGCCACGAATCCTTAATCCCGCGAATCCTCTCGCCGCCGTAAATTCTCGTTCCAAGGAGGATGAGAAAGTGAAATATATTATTATTTCGAAACATAATTCTCCGTTTAAATATCGCTTTTCGATCTCCACTCACTTGACCGCTCCTCCGCTGCCGTCATGACGGGATTCTTTCGTCAAGCGCGTTTACAATTACGCGTTTACTCCCTCCGTGCTTAAGCAAACTCCAGTCCGCTTCGGTAGTCGCGCGCGCGCTCTCTTCTTTTTGACGAGGCGAGATTATCTCAAGACACGAGAAGTGACCTACAGGCCGTGTTTTGGCGGCCATCCAAGTTCGTCTTGGAATCGAGGGCGATATAGCGCCAAGGTCGTATTGTGTGAACGGAATTATCTGTCCTCGCGGATGACACGACTGCATTGCGCCAATTACAGCAATCGGTTCGATCGATGCGTTTAACCCCCTTTTTTCGCTCTTCCCACCTGGCCTTCGTCGGTAGGCTCGAAAACTTGCGAGGGGTCAAAGCACGCCGTTCGACGCGTGGGCGGGGTGTGTGGGTGTGTGGAATCGACGTGCGACGCGCACACAATCGGAGATTTAATGTGTGTGCTGCTCGGTTAAAGGCGAAACGTTAAGAGCGCCGAGGCGCCATTGAAGATTGAGCGTGTTCTCTTCAAACTCCCTTTGAGTCTTGGATCAGCAGTTAGTTTGTTATTGCCAACGTAGAGTCATTTTCAATCGCTTTCAATTATTTTTGTAACCTGCCTTAACGTTTTTAATAATTTGTTTTTCATAAAAGGAAAAATAAAGTAATACCAATTGTAAATATTTTTGTTAAATTGTTATTCAAAGTGTAGATCAAAGTGACTAATATTGATAATCTAAATTTAAGGGATTTAGAATGCTACACAAGAACAGTTAAGAAGAAGGTAGAACGTAACAGGGAACGTTGATTTTCGGTAGCGTGTCGTTCCTTCACGACGGATGAATTGCGTGAATATGCTTCCTCTACTCGTTGACTCTCAAGCGCAATTTCAGATACGATCTCGGAGCGAGGGGGATAGAGCGGAAATATTCCGTCCCCGGGATTATGCTTCCCGCTTTTATTTTTGTCTCGCATTTTCTCACTCCCTCCATGCCTCTTTATCGTCTCGGCTGGAATGAAAACTTGAGTGTTTTGCTCCTACGATTATCGTTAGTCGAGTCGTTATTATCGAGATAAATAGGCGATGCGATTCTCTCGTGAAGAAATGTAAAATAGCGACGATGTGATTGCCGCGAAGAGAAAATTAGTTCCGTCGTTTGCTTTGACACTAGAAAGGCCGCGCGGCATCGCCCGAATGCGATGCAGGGCTTCCGTGAGTTCCGGCTTCCGAGTTCGTTAGTTAATTCCTATCTTCGTTTCCGCGAATTTCGGATTGTGCAGTTCCTCGGCACAGTGGGATTCTCGGGGCTCAACACATCCTGCCAATTACACATTCTAGGATATCTAGTTTCGTGAATTCTCGCTATATCACGAGTGGTATCATCGTTCCACGAATCGCCTCGCCGACTCGTCGATACAATTAATCTCCGACTCAGGTCGGAGGACGGGGAAAGGGTCGCGAATTTTTTGTCCGAAATGCCAAAAGTCTAAAATTGTCGCGCCGCTCAGCATAAGTTAATAACGTTAGATGAGTGCGTGGTCCACTCGATCGACGCGATAATCCCCGATAATACGTTAGTCCCTTTGTGACGAGAACCTCCACGACCACCCCCCATCCCAATTAGCCGCTTGAGCAGCGCGCCCCGCCCAGCAGAGCGCGGCGCCACCGTGCCAATAATCGATTACTATGATCGACAGGTGAGCGGGCTACGGTTTGAGACACAGCTGCGTACGTTAAACCAGTTTCCGGACACGCTGCTCGGCGATCCGACACGGCGGCTGCGATACTTCGATCCGTTACGCAACGAATATTTCTTCGATCGGAATCGACCCTCCTTCGATGCCATACTCTACTATTATCAGAGCGGCGGCCGCCTACGCCGCCCGGTCAACGTCCCGCTCGATGTCTTCTCCGAGGAGATCAAGTTCTACGAGTTGGGCGAGATGGCTACCAACAAGTTCAGGTATGAACGTGTTCGGTTCTCAGCGGACACTTGAAGTAGCGTATTGTTCGCCCCGGTATCATGACATTCAGTGTAAACGCGTTGAGTCGACTCTATGAACTTATCGATCATACAGTTTCGCTGTTATCATGTATGGATTCTTTGATTAATTTAGAGCGATTTCGTCCTCAAACGTTCCTCAGATCCCAGTTGCAACACCCGACAATGTTCCCATCTCTCTCGCTCTCGTAGAAGCACATCTCAAATAGAGAAACTTTCGACCCCAGTACAAAGACGTCCCCAGTGTTTGTACTGGGAACCGCAAATGCGAGAGACAAACGCGCGCGTGTAGAAGACTTAAGAGAATGTTGCCGGATTAACGAAGCAGCGACCGACCACCCAAACAGGGAGGACGAGGGCTTCATCAAGGAGGAGGAGAAGCCGCTGCCGGCGCACGAGTTCCAGAGGAAGGTCTGGCTGTTGTTCGAGTACCCGGAGAGCTCGCAGGGTGCCCGGGTGGTCGCCATAATCTCCGTGTTCGTGATCCTCCTGTCGATCGTGATCTTCTGCCTGGAGACGCTGCCCGAGTTCAAGCACTACAAGGTCTTCAACACGACGACGAACGGCACGAAGATCGAGGAGGACGAAGTGCCGGACATCACGGACCCGTTCTTCCTAATAGAGACTATTTGTATCATCTGGTTCACGTTCGAGTTATCGGTGCGCTTCCTCGCCTGCCCAAACAAATTCAACTTCTTCCGTGACGTAATGAACATCATTGACATCATCGCGATCATTCCGTACTTCATCACCCTCGCCACGGTGGTGGCCGAGGAGGAGGACACGTTGAACCTACCCAAGGCGCCGGTAAGCCCGCAGGACAAGAGCACGAACCAGGCGATGTCCCTGGCGATACTCAGGGTGATCAGGCTGGTCAGAGTGTTCCGGATATTCAAGCTGTCCAGGCACAGTAAAGGCCTCCAGATCCTTGGGCGGACCCTCAAGGCCTCCATGAGGGAACTCGGCCTGCTCATCTTTTTCCTCTTCATCGGTGAGTTCGATGGTGCCTTTCATCGAAGGGTTAGGAATAGTAATAAGAATTTGTCGTTTACTCTTATAATGTATGTAGATGTATGTTTACGACACTTGTGTAAACAAATCGTACTACCTTCAGGTGTTTCACTCCGAGCAGTATTGGGATTGATAAGACTTTTCCTTATTTAGATAAAATATAATCATGATTATCTAGATACATATACGCACACAACACACACATACAGAAAATAAGAAAAATATATAAAAAAATAAAATTTTGGGAATTTTTTATATAAAATTTTTAATAATTTAATGGATATTGTTTCTAAAATATTGTTGTTTTGGTATTTGTGGCGGACATCATCCGTCGACAAAATGTAGAAGACGCGTTAATATAGGCGATCTGACAGCAGGCCGCCAGTGATTAGTGAGTCGCCGCACCGCTAGGCGGCGGAGTCCACGGCCAGCGTGCTCGCGGTCAAAAAGTTATCTCGGGGAGCATATAATTAATTACCCCGAGCAGATGAGTCACTCGAATATGTTTAGTGAGATACATCCCAGTACTGCTTCCGAGTCGCTCTTACAAGAAAACTGTGTATCTGATGCCATTTTAACCCTTTCGCAACGAATGGCCACTGTAGTGACTGCCCGCAAAAATGTGTTCCTGTGTACGAATGACTACTATAGTGGCCACTCGTGAAACTAGTAATAATCTGACGAATAATTTTTACAGAAAACAGAAAGTACGTCATGTGGTAAAACAATTTCTATTAAAGATCTGTTTAGATTTTGTATAGTGCATATACGCGATCCATTTTTCTGTACAATGGTAGCATGATGATGGTTAAAAAAAATGCAATAGTGGCACTGTCGCGGAAAGGTTAAAGCGTATCATCTAAGAAAGTTCTCTGAATATAGGCATGATGTATAATTTGATGCTTGTGAATGTCTTTTTAATGTCTACGATAAATTCAGAGGAAGATGAGAGGATTATATTAAATGAATGGAAAGGAGGATGGGTATATATAGACGTATGACGTGAGGAGGGTAAAGTCGCGTTTAACAGAAATCGGTGTTACGGAGATCGAGCTTTCGCTGCTTCGTTTTGCATTATGTAACACATAGCGTATGTAAATACTCGTGAGTTTGGAACTGTGCTTCGTCGAGGACCTTGGAATTATCATGGGCGACGAAGTTGCGGACAACTGGAATTATGTTTTACCATCTGAAAATTTATGGTATCTTTTGATTCTTGCATATGCGCGTAAATTCAGTTTCGTCTCTCTCTTTCACTCAAATATATGTTGAAATCACTTCAATTCTGGAATCGCGCAAAATTTAACGATTTTTTGCTAAGATTTCGCCTTGAAGCACGCGGCACGATCTTTGTATGCGGGAATTCTCAGCTGTGAGGCAAATCCGCGAGCAGATTTTTACGAAGCGACAAAGATATTTGACGTGTATAAAATATTTCGCGCGATAAAGCTAAATGAGTAATAGCCAGGGGAACGTTTACCTCTTTTACTTTTCTTGAAGTTGGGAAATAGGTCGACTAGCGCACATGATTTGTTGATATTAAAGATAAACTATCGGCACAGTTGTTTTCGCGGGAAGTCGCTTTTAAATCAGTAATTTCCCCGATGTTTTCCTCTTCGCCGACCTCGGGGAGACACTCGAAACGTCGTTTCGGAAGCTTTTGCGCTTGGTAATCGTTTCTCTCTCTCTCTCTCTCTCTCTCTCTCTCTCTCTCTCTCTCTCTTTCTCTCTCTTTCTCTCTCTTTATATATATCTATCTATCTCTCTCCGTCTCTGTCTCTGCGCGAATACTCGTCGCCCTAAAAAGGAACGAGCGAACAAGATTTATGGCGTCGTTCATCTATCGAACAGTCGCAAACTTTCGAAAGCCGAGATCTCCTCGTTGATCGTTCGCGGTACAATGGCTTTCAAAAGGGGGTCGGCTGCGAGGGGTATAAATGGGAGGGAAAGCGAAGGATTAGGATGTAAATAACTTTATCTGCGTTTTTGCCAAAGATTGTCGCTTGAAACTGAGTTTAAGAGCAACTGTGCCTTCGTATCTTACAAGTGTACTTCTTACATTGGTGATATCTGTTATCACATGATGATCGTGTGTTGCCGCTCAGTTACAACTCTCGACCGACGCTCGACCGATACAAAAATATTGTCTATACATCAGATAACTCTGTCTCCGCGCTTATTTTGTTAATGTGTTGATTGGTCGTCGCGTCGATATATTTGTGTCGCAAGACAACGTCGTTCAAGGGTTGTATGTCGAACGGCGATACATGAAGATCAGAAGGGAGATATTGCACAGCAGAATGATACTGGTGGGATGCGCGATGATATTTTATACATGATACGCCGAAACAATTATACCCTCTCGAAACTGCTTATCCAAATGGGATTCTACTGTGCAAGTTCGCCCACATGCCTAATTTCCCTGACCCTCTGCAGGCTTTCCACGATTAACGGCCTCGGTGACTCGCTGCGTGGAGGAGTTCCCATTAATGATGCACCATGTGTCAACAACGATAGGTTCACACAAGCGCTGCGAAATGTCTCTTTTATCGTTAGAAGGTCATTGGGAGTCGAGATTTCTCGCTGTCCGCGTCGTCGGGATAAGCTGATCCTGATCCTCCAAGACCACCTTGCTGATCTTTGGGTCGACAGTACTCCACGCGGACGTTCCAGGTATGAGATCGTCGCGAGGCCATCCAGATCGGTCGACGGTGACGACAGCTGGACGTGGTGGACGCTTGAACGTCGGTAGCGATCCCGATTGATCTTGGGACAATGTGCCTGCGACACATCCGACGTTCCGGGCGCGAGTGAGCGATTAATCGGCCGGCTGGCCAGGGGGGAGGTGCTATGAGAGACGATCCTAGTAGCGGTAGTCGGGGGTGCCGCGTCCGCGGGACCGACGACGTGGATACGCCGCGTGGACGATGACGTACGACCGTCTTGACCTGTGCCTTCCTCTTGTGTGCGTTGCAGGTGTGGTGCTGTTCTCGTCGGCGGTCTACTTCGCGGAGGCCGGCACGCAGGACAGCTTCTTCAAATCGATACCGGACGCGTTCTGGTGGGCGGTGGTCACGATGACGACCGTGGGCTACGGCGACATGAGGTACAGAGCCACCGGGGGCGTTAAACCCACTGAACCGGTGTTTTCTTCCTTGCATTGCAGGTGTGGTGCTATTCTCGTCGGCGGTATACTTCGCGGAGGCCGGCTCCGAGAATTCGTTCTTCAAGTCTATTCCGGACGCGTTCTGGTGGGCCGTTGTCACGATGACGACCGTGGGCTATGGTGACATGACGTATGATGTACTCACTTTCACTTAAGACTCTAGTTAATGCCCGCAAAACGTCGACCGCCTCTCGAGGTCGTCGTCGGATGAGAGATCTAACAAACACACGCAGCTCCTCGGCCTCTTTCGTTTTCTTTTTTCTCTTGTTTTCTCATTCCGCTCGGAAGTCACACTTCTTCGGGATTGCGCCAGCAACAACAGTCGAACGTATTGTTATCGCGCTCTTGCGAGAATCGAGGTAACGCTCTTCCGCTCGATTCACCCGGAAAAATTCTTGAGAAATATTGCGTATATTATAAAAGCGGTTGTAATGTATTCCGTTATTCGAAGTCGCACTCGGTAAAACCAGGATCGATCGAGGTTGTTGGCGCAATCGCGTTTTTTTTCTCTTCCTCTCTCTCTCTCTCTCTCTCTCTCTCTCTCTCTCTTTCCTGTCTTCACCTTTTCCTTTTGATTGGCACGTCTTGCTCGAAGCACGCTTTTGTTACTTCATGTTTTGTTATTTCACGTTTATCACGTATCTTCGGGTCCGCCTTAAATCGTTGATGATGAACATGTTTAGACGCGACCGGATATTTCCTCGTGCCGCATGCAAGAGAATTTCATGGCGGGAATCCGATTATTTGCACGTGAAATTAACGTGAAATTAAGACCCGGCTTCAAATCGCAAGTCCTAGTTGTTGTTCGCGCCAATTAACATGCTGGACGTGCGATTAATTAATTTGTACAGTCGGCTGATTAAGTATAAATTTTCCTCGATGGAGTTTCGTAACGTATCCCGTATCCAATAGAATTTTTTTTAGTGATTCTAAAGAGATATGTTTTTTTTATTGGATACGTAATGCGTTGCAAAACTTATTGAGATTAGTATTGCTACATTTAATCAGCCGACTGTACGAGAGATTTGAGGATAACGCGATGAAAGTTAACTCTTCACTCGTGAAGGCTGACTATTCTTTCTCCGTTGTATTAATATTGTTGAAATTAATACATTTTTAATATATTTTGTTCGATTCCTTTTCTACTGGAGTAACTATATCGAGATTCTTGTTAAGGTAGTTGGCCCGTAAACCCATTTTCTTAATAATATTTTCAATTTTTAACAGTATATATCAGTAGAAACACGATCTACATGCACAATTAGAAAAAATTGATCGTATCTAAGTTAATATAATTAAAGTCAAAGTTTAGTACTATTTACATGTATGCAGGTACGAGAACTGCTTCTGACGTCATGTTTTTAATTTTAGACCAAATTACTGTTACGATTTTAATAAGAAAAGACTATCAAAGAGATTTTTAAATATAATAAAAAGTTACAAGAGCATCGACCGTCTAGTTTCTAATAAATTGATATGTAAACTGATACAATTCCTGATAGCGGTTAATGTTATATGACAGTTAACTTGTACAGATCTGGCAATGTTATATGCTCCAATTTCCTTTTATATCTCTTGATTAGACATTCTTTTAAAGATTAATATAATTCAAAGATTAAACAATTTCAAAGATTTACAGTCAATATACGTAAAAATATGGAAAAATTAGACGTTCAAAATCACGATCATTTTTCTAGTGGCGTGTATGTATTTATCGGTATATAAGTTGTCGACAAACATATGTTTAAGGGAAAAGAATACTACAGACGGTTGAAAATGAAGGGGTTTTTAGTGCATTTTTTTAAAGAAAATAATAAGCGTTATCAATAAAACAATTTACTGATCTTTTATGTAAAACTTTAAAGATGATTTAAAATTTTGTAGAAAGAAAAATATAAATATTTGTAAGCTATACAGTTGACGTTACAGATTGTAAGCTATAAGTAGTGAATGAAAAAATTCCTTCATTTTCAACCGTCAGTGTTCTCTCCCCTTAATACGATTAGATCCAGCTAAAAGTATTATAAATTGCTAGAAACGATTATTTCCTTATGGATTTTTACATAGATGGAACATTATGTAAATTTGTCTTGCGACAATATGAAAACTATATTCTAAATCATAATTATAAACATTTGGTACACAAATTTGTCGAGTTTTCTCATATTATATTAACCGTTACCTTTTTAACGGTATTGTCACGGACCAACTACTTTAATCGTAAGTCCGATGCGTACTTTACGCGTCACATCCTTGACACTGTGTACACTCGGTCACAAAATGGTTCGCATATTTTTTGTCGAATGAAGTTCAAGTCGCTTCAGGGGTTGTCACAATTAAGAGTCACTGCTGATGCGCATGCGTAATAATCGGTTACGACAGGAGCCGAATTGGCAGCATATATATTTGGCAGGATACGACAATAAATTTAGAGAGAAGAAATTATCTTAAAGTTAGAAAACCCACTATTTTGAAATAATTTCTATATATTTTATTAAGCAAGATAACGTGATATATATGTTGAATCCAGTAGAATGTCAGTAGTGACTTTGAATTACGACAACTTAAAGCAACTTCAGTCGATAAAAAGTGTGCAAGTTGTTTTGCGATCGAGTGTACACTTATTTGCGAAACGATTTGAATACTTTCTTTTTTTTTAAAGTTAGGAGCACATCAAATGGTCATAATTGCGAGCCACTATTCATGAGCTTGCGTAGCAGTCGGTTATGACAGAAGCTGAAGTGACAATATGTGAGACATCTGACATCACTACTGTAACGGAAAATTTAGGAAAGACATAAGCAACTTTATTATATTCTTATCTATCAGATAAGACACTTGCACCATGTACTATCGCTTTAGCCTCTCTTTCAATTGATTATTATGCAAGTCCATGAACAGTTGCTAATAAATATGACCACATGATGCGCTTCTAAGCCTTTCAGAGAAAAAGTCTTTAGATCGTTTCGTAACCGAGTGTACACTCATTTCTACAAGGGTTTTTACTACATTTTTTCCCATGAAGTTAGGAGCACATTAAATAGTCACGATTGCGATCCACTATTCACGAGCTCTCGCGATAATCGATCTCGTGTATCTTTAACATTAATAACACATAACAGCCGTTATATTAAGCGTTACTTCTAGGTATAATAGTTATATTCTGTGTCTGTTGGGAAAGGACCAATATTTACTTCGTGGATTGTCACTTCGTCTCCTGTCATAACCGAGCACCGTGTAAACTCGTGAGCAACGGCACGCAAACGTGACTATTTTGTACGATGACAACTTCATTTCAGGAAATGTATGTGAAAACCGCTGTGCAAACGAGTGGACAGCGTCTTTTGTTAAAGATCTTTCGAATAATTCGGAGCTGATGCGTTTTCGATTGCATGAATATCTTGTTTTACGCGAGTGCACTCGACGACGCCGTCGAGTTTGGACGGAGGACGCACTGGACGGAAACGTTGAATCCTTATTTCGATATTACATTGTCCCTAGTCCACGTCATAGACTTATATACATGGACTGTGTGTGAGCGCTCTACAAAGAAACTACGTAGATTACATCTGAAAAGGATGGTGTATGGCGCAGGCATTCGGTCTTTGTCTAGCTTGACTTATATTGGAGGAAGCTGGCGAGAAATGAAACATAAATGTTTTGCTGTATGACGAAGATAGCATGCCTGTTGACAGTGGAAGGGGAATACGGTTGTTCTTTACATTTTGTCTTTAATCTTCTGATATGAGAATCATCCAATAAATGAAGAGACAAGCGATTGTAGTTTCAAAACATTTTGATTCAATTTACGTAACAGTTTACTCGTTTTTCAACATAATCCCTTTTAAGTTGTATAATTTAGTTATACCTTTTTAGTTGTATAATTGTCTTATCGTTTTATTAACTTTTTTATTTTAACAGAGAAGAAATCTTTGTTTTGATGTTCTTGATGTTTTGAGTCAGATTTGCATTTTTTTTACATATCACAGTAAAAGTTTTAAAATTACCCATTTAAATTTGCACTCCACTAGATGGCGCTACTTAATTTTCATAAATTAAAAGTGAAACTATGACAACTTGCAATGAAAAAATCATTTTTAGCGAATCGCAGAGACAGTTACAAATGTCTTTGGAAAAAGGATAAGTGAATTGGATCTTGAGATTTAGCTTTTGAAAGCATCCGATGGATTCTAGTGGATTCTCAAACAATTGGCACGGTTAAATTGATCAACTGGCTTGTTGATTATACTTTGAAACTACCAGCAAGATCATATTATCAATAAAATAAAACGCAAGCTATCAAGAAATAAATTATATAAATACTTATCCGTATTTTTTCAGACGAAATTTTATCTTCTCTGAAAACAAAAATCTTGTCACTGAATGCTATTCCTCAAAAATATATTTTTCGAGAGAACTTGCAACGATGAAATGAGATAATATGTTATCATAGAAGTTATGTTAACAAAGATATTAGTCAGACAGCTGTTTTTAAAAGATATTAAGTGTGGTGACTTATGATTTTTTAATATCTTAATATCTTAATATCTTAATATCTATAATTTATGATTTTTTATTTCTTATAGATTTTGTACTACAGCCGTTTATCTTTTTATTTATTGAAAGGCTCGCCTGCAATACGTAGAGTAAGTTTGGCATAAAAATTGAAGTATAAAAGAAAGATAATTTATTTCGTTTTCGTTTGTACTTCATAGCCTTTTTATATCGGGAATATTTCTCTTATTTAAGAGAAATATTTTCGATATATGGGAGTTAAAGTATAGACGTGAACGAAATAAATTATTCTTCTTTCTTACTCCAATGGACGTTAAGCTCACTCTGTATATCGTGGACGGACCTTCTCATATGAGATGGCGCATTCTATGTATACAAGTCTATGGTTCACGCCCACAATCGCGCGATCGGAAGATCCTGAATATCGAAGACCGCGGACGAAAACCGTAAACCGGCTGCCACATCATCACTCTCCAATTACGCGACCTGCAATTACACGTTTCAATAGCACTCCGATAAACGCAAACTCGCTGCATCTCACGCTCCATTTCACGCTACATCATCTCTCCGTATACCACCGCCTTCTCGTCTACAGGGTGTATACACGAGAACTGC